GCGGAAGAGTCGGACGCTGCACGTCTCGAGTGGGCCCACCCGTAAGGCAACGCGGTTTCACTGCCTAGAAAAGTCGCTGTATATTGTTTTCCTTTTGGAACAGTGTAATTAGGGAGCCAGGATACCACAGTCGGTATAGCGACTGACTACGGGCTGGACGATCGAGAGGTCGGAGTTCGAGTTCCGGTAGGGTCAAGAATTTTCACTTTCCATGTCGTCCAGACCGGCTATGGGGTCCACCCAACCGCTTATCTAATTGGTACCGGGTTCTTTTCCCGGCGTAACGTGGCCGGGGCGTGAAGCTGAACACTAATTTCCAACTAGTTCCGAGTTCAAGAAAGTGTGGATCTACACATCGAGTCCCCGATACGCCTTCATAGCGTAGTGCTTAATTAGTTAAGCACAGGGACAATTTTACCTTTATAGTGTAATAATAGGAACGGTACAGAAGATATAATTATATCAGTGAATTATCCCTGAGCTCTAAATTGAGCGTAATTAATGTAGCTACAACACATAAAGTCGTTGTTAGGGTACCATAATTGACACTAATCGGAGTGTCACATTATTAATTCGTTCTTTTGGCAGTGGGATAGTCTTTTCACACACTCCGTGACACTTAGACCGTGGACTTGCGTTCCTTCCTCATATAGTACTACATGCTTCCTTCATGCACAAATTTCTTAAATTTTTTTCTCACAAAAATAGTCATGTCTTCGAACCACGTATCTTCTAAACCATACGCCAGTGCCTTACCAAAGGACCGCCATGGTTATGGCAAGGATTCGCCTTCGTCTTCCACATATCCTACAGCTTAGTTTCTACTTTTACAAAATTCCTCTTTACTACTTGCTTCATTTCAAAATCATTTTACGACTGACGGTTGGCCAGTCACTTTCTCTTAATCTTCAACGGCCGAAGTGCCCCGTTGGGGCCAGTGATGAGTATGGTCGTCGCGGCCAAAGTACCCCGTTTTGGCCAGTCGGGCATTTAAACTCCGCTAGTGGAAGCGCGCGCACACGCCGCTAGTAGAAGCGCATGCACAGTCCTAAATATGTATTTGTATATGTAGTAATTACCAGACAGACTTGAGTAAAACCATAATAGAGGAATTAAAATGATACCTAAGTGAACAACAGCAAAAAAGAGTATACGTATGAGTTATGCCCAAACTCATCCACGAGCCAATACTTTTATTGCATACTCTGCAGATTAATGCGTTAAATTCGATGTACATACCTTTTTTGTTGTTATCTGCTTGATGTATAAAGGTCGCGGGCTCAAGTCCCGATGAGGTCATTGGATATTTTTTCAGTTGACCTAATCCTGCCAGTCGCACTAGGCCCTGGGGTTTACTCAGCCTCTAACAGAAATGAGTACCAGGAATTAATTAAATAATTTTCCTGGGGAGTAAAGCGCGGCCGGCGCGTAGGGCTGATAACCTTACCGCCATCTTTGAGCCGATTGTCTAGACAATGTGGGAAGGCCTGGTACGAGGATAGCTTTACTTTTATCTGCTATATGTATATATAGGCTGAAATGAAACGACAGTATTTGATTTCACTATGAACGCACAGAAAACAGTTCGCACTCTGTATCTCAGCCACGATGCAACTGTCTGTTCACGACCCTAGAGATGGCAATAATCTCTTGCAGCTATAACGGAAGGTCTTAGCACTGAAGAAGGGACCCCTATAGCTTTCTCTTGAATAGCCAGTCTTTCATTCTTCTGTCCTTTAGTCAAAAGGTTCGAAAATCCGAAGGGTGTAAGCAGCGCTAGCAGAAGGCCAAATGATTTTATTGCTTCCATCCGTTTTATGACACCAGGGACTGCTAAAATGTGTCAAATGTTACAAACAGAAATTAATTTATAATGCAGAACATCTATGTGAAGAACCGGGAAATCATTTTTGCAGTACGTATCAAAATTTAGAAAAAAAAAAGAAATTGAAAGTAGAGTAAAATTCTTTGTATAATTTTTTTCAAATCTTCCGTTGTAATATGCGACACTGTGTTCTTTGCTGATACAAACAAAGTTAATTCCATCCATTTATCATAAAAATTGAGTTAGATACAGCATTTTAAAACACAATGTTTAAAATTGTTTAAGCGCCTTAACAGGAACGGACATTTAAACGCGCACCAACAGCGGGCATTTAAATAAACTCCGGCCAGCTCAATCTTACCACCATTTCAGAAGTCCGGCGTTTAAAGGAATGTTTTATATACCTATCTATCTATCTATCTATCTATCTATCTATCTGTCTGTCTGTCTGTCTGTCTGTCTGTCTGTCTATCTATCTACAGCCCTTGTAGACCTTGGCCATTTTTTCACTTACTTAATCCTATACGTATGCAGAGTCTGTAGGTCTTGTTGGACGAGGAATCAGCCCGTCACAAGGCCGATACCTACACACAGAACAACATAAATGCACAATAAATGCACACAGATATCCATGCCTCGTGTGGGTTTCGAACCCACAATGCCAATGTTCGAGGGGGCGAAGACTGTTCATGCCTTAGACCTCGCGGCCACCGTGTCGGCCTCCACCCTACTACACGGTAGTATAACCCAGAAGACAGTACTTTTCATAGCCACAGCGGTGAGAGCCGCAAATCTAGCGAAGTTAACGTAAGTTTATAAGCGTTTAACCCCCTTGAACCTGGTCTGGTACATTTTAGACTCTATAACATGTACTACTAGCAGTAAATTGTGTGCATTTTGGCTCATTAGACGACGCTATGTCAACTGGAAATGCTAAATAGCAGCAGCTATAGGGAATTATGGATGAATGGGGAAAGAAGTGGCCGCTGCCTATTTTAAGGTACAGTTCAGTAATTTAGATAGAGAAAATTCATGGAAATCTTCAGGCAGGATTGTCTGTTATTATAACCCAGAATCGAAGCCGGGACATCCAGAATAAAAATCAGGAGTCCTAGCCAATGTCCTGCGACATTAAACTTGTAGTACTCGGACATGTATTTACTATGGTCTTCATAAGAGCATATCCTGAACAAGATGAGCGAATTCCACTTCGTCCTACCCTACTCTTTAATATTGTTCTGTCATCTACGCCTAGGTTTTCCAAATGATTCAGTTTTTTCCAACCAAAATTTTGAATCGACTTCTATTTTCTCCCGTGCATACTACCAGCTCCGTATCTCTCATCCTTCTTGATTTACTCATTCTAATAATATTTTATGGGATACTCGGTAGAGCAGGTGGTTGAGGCACTATGCTACAAGCCGGAATGTAGCGGGTTTGATTCCCGATGAGGTCATTGGATTTTTAAATTTACCTGATCCTTCCAGCCGCTCTACGGCCGTGGGGTCGACTCAGCCTCTAACAGAAATGAGTACCAGGAATCTTCCTGGGGGGTAAAGGGCGGACGACGCGTACGGCTCACAATCTCACCGCCATCTATGAGCCGATTGTCTAGACCAGCCGTGTCAAACATGCGGCCCCCATAGCCACAAAGTGCGGCCCCTCAACTTTTAGAGCTAATTGATATTAAAATCAATATTAAAATTTTAGTAGAAATATTTTTTGTAAAGACAATTTTCCAACAGACCAGAAGACAAGAAGTCTCACGCAGACATAAATTAGCAGGCTGCAGGAAATTCAATGTTTTGCTATTTCTAACATAATTTATTGTGTAATCTCTCTTTTTACATATTGAAAAGTTGTTTGATACTTGTCAAAAATGGCATTCTCTTGCTTTTTAAAACTGTAAGATATGTGACTTTAGGTAATTATATTGAAATTATTCCTAAATAATAAATAGAATTAAATTTCCTTGTATCAAAATCTAATGTATATTTCTATTTTGAAGTGCGGCCCTGTACTATTATTTATAGGGCTGAGGTGGCCCTCTGTACAAGTTGAGTTTGATATGCCTGGTCTAGAGAATGTGGGAGCTTCGACGTCTCACAACCCTATGGGCCTCCAAGGCCTGTTACAGAGATAAATTTACCTTTAATTATGTTGTGTTAAGAGCTCAATTACTAACAGATTAAAATATTTACATAGTTTTCATATTTTAGTTTTTCGTGTTAGAAAATTAGTGATCTCAAAGAAAGTTAACACATGTTAACCAAAGAAGCTGCATTTCATCGCAATTACAGAAACCGAAACTTCATGAAGATCTCTTGGTACATTTCCTGCTGAAAATAGTCTGAAAAAGGCGATTCAACGTTCCCATTGTATTCCAACTACGCAACACGCCATTAATAAAGTCGGTACCATCAGAAAATATGGAAACTACGTGGAACACACAAACTATTGGTCTTGCTGATGATACTAATTTATCAAGCGGAAATACAGGTCTGAATATCATGGCGAACTCAGAGACTGTAAGCTAGTAAGGAGACTGGCCATGTCATAGCACAGGCCGTTAGTCGCCGGCTACCCACCGCGGCGGCCTGAGTTCGAGCCCAGGTCAGGTCATGTGGGATTTGTGGCTGACAACGTGGCACTGGAATAGGTTTTCTCCTGGTACTTCAGGTTCCTCTGCCAATTCTCATTCTCCCGACTGCTCCACACTCTTCATCTATCATCCGGGGCTGGTACAAGAATCCAGTTAGTGGCCGAAGTAGAAAGTGGATTCAGTCTCGCATCACCACAAGTAACAAAAACTAAACGCAAGGGCCGCGCCATAGCTCAAGCGGTTAGTCGCTTGCCTCTTACCGGCGGCCCGGGTTCAAGCCCGGGTCTGGTCAAGTGGGATTTGTGGTGGTCAAAGTGGCGTTGGGGCAGGTTTTCTCAGAGTACTTCAGTTTCCCCTGCCAATCTTCATTCCACCAATTGCTTTACAATCACTCTCACCTATCATCTGGGGCTGGTACAATAGGCCAGAAGTGGCCGCAGTACAAGGGACTTAGTCCCGCCCCACTAGCACTAAAAAAAACTAAAAGCTAGTAAGGATACTGGTCCAGAAAGAAACACAGAACAGGTAATATACAATGTCCAACATAATTTCTCGTGTAACTTTTGTCTTTAGGGGAGTCTGAAGTGACAACAACTGAGCACAAAAATCCGCAACGCCTCCCTCCTCCGTTGCCAAGCCGCAGTCTAGTAGGCTTCTCTCCTCAGCTACCGAGACGGCGACACCCGGCAGGCCTTCGTCCAACGCTTTCTGCGGCAGATGTGTCCGTCTTCGATGTCCCGGAAAAGCTGACGCTCTTAGAAGTTATGTGGCGAGACGAATTGGTTCGCCGTCAAACCGAGCAGAGAGTCAAGTAAGTGGAGATGCATGCAATTTACGCCATTTTGTATGTAGCCTCTGTTTTACAGACCAGCTAACGTTGTAGACTTGTTGGTTAAGGTTACTGAAAATCAAGACAATATTCGTGATATTATTGTTAGAATATAAATAAATATACAAATAAATAAGTAAATAAATTAATACCATGTTAAGTCTGAATATAAGACGGTGCCCTATTTTTCCAAAGAGAAAATCAGAACAAATTGACAAAACTGAATTTGTTATTCAATTCTGAGAGTAGAAAGCAAAAAGAAGTAAAAACCATATTATTAAAAACTGGCTGTACCCGGCCACGCGTTGCTGTGGCTCAGTCTAACGAAATATTTCAATTCAAACGCAGATCAATCGACACAGCTCAATCCCACCGCCAATTGCACTGAAAAATAAGGAAAACATTTAAGAAAATGAAATAAAAAACAATGAAAAATAAACTATACTCACGAAATGAACGCTATGGTAAACGACACAGCCCAATTCCAACGCAATGTCACACGAAATAATTAAATAAAAATGAAAATAAATCGAAACTGTTTATATTCGGCGGCAGCTATCCCAAGACTGACTCCTTCGGTGGTTACTTCCAGACTCTCTTTTGTATCCCTCGGCATCTGCCCCGAGACTGACTGCTTCTTGTCCAAGCTGGACTATTTATACCTCGTCGGATGCTATACAATGAGCCTTCTGTTGTCTATCACCGGGGAAACGCTGCCAGAGTCGAATCCAAAACTCTGAGTGCAAACTCAGGATCTCTGCTGTGATTTCACTCGGAATCTCTTGTGATACTTGTGACCTCGCGATACTCGAGACACTCGTGATACTGAACAGTCGCCGGAGCTACACTCTCTTATACATATAGCCAGCGTTCGGACGGGATAGGGAATACCTTATCGAAGAGTTAGTTTCATATGTTGCTTAGGAAATGCTAGCACAGAACACCTTGTAGAAGTGTTTGGTTTCATCCGTTGTTACGCAACGGAACCTCTTATCCTCTCATCTCCGGGGAAACGCGTTTGTTGTTTCGGCAATTCCTACGCAACGGCCCACTGTTATTGCGTTTCCATGGAAGTATACTTTCCGGATTCTCGCGTGGCTGGGTACAGCTAGTAGGTATATAAAAACACGCGCGCATTCGAATGCAACGTTGTGTCAAAATTTCGAAGCAATCGGTGAAGAATTTTCGGAGATTTTCGAGGGCTAACAAACGAACATTTACATTTTTATTTATATAGATATTAAATTCAAAATTTTATACCTTGAATGTAATTTTAGGCAAGGGTAAGGTGACGTAAAATTGTCCTTGTGCTTGACTTATTATTAAGCACTACTCCATGAAGACGTATGGGGAAGTGCATGTATAGATCCACGTATTTTTGACCTTGGAGCTAAACTGTGGTCAGCTTCACGCCCTGGCCGCTTTACACCCGGGTAACCCCCCCCCCACGATACCCATTGGATAGATCCCAAAGTCTGTCTGGACAACTTGGAGAAGAGAAAATTCTTGACCCTACCGGGACTTGAACTCCGAACTCTTTGCCTTCTAGGCAATAGCCAGTTGCTGTACCGACTGGGCTGTACTGGCTCCTCAGTGCTATTCTAGTTAGTTTCACAGATGTCATTTTATGTTAACAATTATAACTTCTCATTATCATCTTCCTATTTATATTTTTAAAATCTCCATGGCCTGTAGTCCGCAAGCGAACTATACTGACCGAGCGACCGCCGCTTGTCCGCGAAGTTAATGCCAACTTTAGTGGATAGAGGGCATTGTGTGATCAGCGCAACGGATCCCCACGGCCGTTAATCTCCGTTTTCTAGACCGGAGTCGCTATTTCCTTGAAATAGTTCCTCAGTTATCCTCACGAGGCTGAATGGATCCCGTTCCAGACCAACTACTTCTCAGAAAATCTGGTAACGCCGGGAATCGAACCCAGGACCTCTGCCTATTTATTCTTACTGACCCAAAAGTAAGGCCTATAAGGTAAATAAATAAATAAATAAACAGAGAGATAAACAAACTAACCAGTTTTGTGGAATATAATATTCTCAAATTATTTAACATATTCGCGTGTTATTCCCCCCTCCCAAGAATGCATTAATAAGAAGCAACATCCATCTGTACTTAAACAGTCCTTCTTGGGAAACCTGTAATCTGAAGGAAGGACAATTGAAGTAGGAGGAAATACGAATTTGTTATAGGGGAAATATATTTAGAACATTCCAGCATTGTTATTTTCAGACGAGTTGCCTTCTCTTCTTTCAAATTAATGGTTTACAGAAAGCGATAGACCGTGTAGAGAGTACCGTACTAGTATTGAAAACCCTTTGAAGACTGAATTTCTCCTAACTAATATATAAAAATTCAGTTCGTACCTCGCAGGAAATACATAACAACTCCACTTCAAAGACAATCCGTTTGATGCCTCTTATGGAAACAGCCGCTGTTTATTGAGAGAACCAAACAAAACACAAACTCACTCTGTGAACAGAATGATATGTTAAAGCAGGTGGTACATATAGTAACCACTGGGCTTTAAATGGTTAAGAAAGGAGGCAATTTGAAGAAAAACCAAAGACGGACTGTGAACGATCAAAAGACTAAAACAAAATCTCAAGACAACAGCAAAAGGGAAGCAGACTTTAGCAAGAACACCTGATATACTCGTAAGGGTGACGATATTAGGATATGCACTGTATATGAGATGCTAAGTGAATCTAGAAAGATATATGGCCCTAGATGGAAGGATATGCACTGTATATGAGATGCTAAGTGAATCTAGAAAGATATATGGCCCTAGATGGAAGGATATGCACTGTATATGAGATGCTAAGTGAATCTAGAAAGATATATGGCCCTAGATGGAAGGATATGCACTGTATATGAGATGCTAAGTGAATCTAGAAAGATATATGGCCCTAGATGGAAGGATATGCACTGTATATGAGATGCTAAGTGAATCTAGAAAGATATATGGCCCTAGATGGAAGGATATGCACTGTATATGAGATGCTAAGTGAATCTAGAAAGATATATGGCCCTAGATGGAAGGATATGCACTGTATATGAGATGCTAAGTGAATCTAGAAAGATATATGGCCCTAGATGGAAGGATATGCACTGTATATGAGATGCTAAGTGAATCTAGAAAGATATATGGCCCTAGATGGAAGGATATGCACTGTATATGAGATGCTAAGTGAATCTAGAAAGATATATGGCCCTAGATGGAAGGATATGCACTGTATATGAGATGCTAAGTGAATCTAGAAAGATATATGGCCTAGATGGAAGGATATGCACTGTATATGACATGCTAAGTGAATCTAGAAAGATATAAGGCCCTAGATGGAAGGATATGCACTGTATATGAGATGCTAAGTGAATCTAGAAAGATATATGCCCTAGATGGAAGGATATGCACTGTATATGACATGCTAAGTGAATCTAGGAAGATATATGGCCTAGATGGAAAATGGAAGTAAATTGATAAAATTCACAGTAGGTTTTATAAACTAATATTTATATTAAACGACGCAACTGAACTGGAATTAGGGCGTGACAATAGGAGTGGAAAAGTTCTGACCGCAATTGCGAAATACTGGTTACGTTTCTTACGCGTGAACTCCCTGGAAATAGTCAGAACGTGATATGAATGGCAGGCAAATAACCTGAAGGCAGAAGGCTGGGCAAGGAAATTAGAGGAAGAATTGGAAAATATAGGCTTAGCATATGTTTAGCAGAGCCAGGTGGAGAATAACTCAAATGAGACATGTAAAATAAACAATAGAACAGTGTAATGATATATAGAAAGAAAGAAAGAAAGAAAGAACGTATTTTCGAACATGGGCGAAAAGATTTCCTTGGCATTTTACTACTGGGAAGTGAAACACGGGTAGGGTAAAGAGAGCCACATCTGGAATGCACAAGGAAGGAAAGAATGGGATTAATATGGCTGGAAGCAGGGATCTGGGAACTAAGAGGCATCAGCAGGGATCTGAGAGCGGAAGGTGCCCCCAATTTCTGGCGGAGGGGGTTCATACTGCTAGTGTTCCCTGAAACGAAGAAGTGGAGAGAACTTGTATGCAGCAAACGGTTGAATAAAGGTGGGGACACGGGATGCAGGAAAATAAATCCCTGCACAAATGTAACTGAGGTATAAGCCCCCGTGGAAATTGTTTATTTAAAAATTATATATAAATGGGAGACCAAAATGAAAGGAACCCCCCATTGACCTTAGCTGGAAGCTAAAATATAAAATGAGAAAATGGATTGAGAGCAGAAATATTATTGGTACATTAGTGGTAGTATCAGTAGTAATAGTAATAGTAGTTGTACTGTTTTAAGCAATGTAAATAGTTTCTATGTATCATTTGTATGTACTTATTGTTTGCTTGTATGTAGTGTAGTTTGTATGTTCGTATGCATTGAGTCTGTGGACGCAGTTCTAGGTTTGTAATGAAACTCGAACCGATAAATCAAACTGCATTTAGGAGTTGATCGTGGAAGAGTTTTCTCTTCGCCGCTACGTCCAGGTTTCCTATGCCTACCAAACTTTCTATCATTTCTAGGTAGTAAAATTGGACGGAATGTTAAGCTGTTATTTCCGCCTCTTTATAAGGTACAGAGCGTATGGAGCCTCATCTCCACGAGCATATACGTACACCGTTGTGGTGTTTAGGAGTAGGGTTGCAAAAACCCACCGTAATCTGGAGGCCCTTGGTTCAGTTCTTAGCCTTGAGACCAGTTGATTAATTTCGCATTAGTAGGTAATGTTACTTTAATACAGGCTACGACCCATTCCTTCTACATTATTTTTTCTAATCCGTCATCATACAGCCGTTACATAAACCGTGCAGTTGATGAAGCTTTGTTAAATACACTAAACCTCGAAGGTAAAGTTGGCTTAGTGTACAGCTTGATGCATAAACCAGTTTCAGAACCACTGTTACTTGGGTTTCCCCAGCGGACTCATTCAG